TTCTTCTCCCATTCCTTGAATGGATTTATCTCTTTGTTCTTTGTGGGAACTCGGTTTAGGACATGACATGCCGTCAATATCGCCTCCCCCCACCATGCCTTGGAGAGACCCGACGTGTCTAATATGGCGTTAACCAAATCAGTTAGAGTACGGTTCTTTCTTTCGGCTACCCCATTTGACTGAGGTGAATAAGGAGGCGTCCTCTCATGGATTATACCATGTTCCGCACAAAAAGCATCAAATTCATTGGAAAAATACTCTCCACCACGGTCGGACCTAAGCCTCTTGATTTTTCGATCAAGTTGGTTTTCTACTTCAGCTTTATAGATCTTGAAAAAGTTCAAAGCCTCATCCTTAGATTTCAGAAGATACACACGGCAATATCTAGTGGAGTCGTCAATTAATGTCATGAAATATTTCTTTCCACCTTTTGTCAAAACACCATTCATTTCACATAGATCTGAATGTATGAGCTCTAGTGGTGCAAGATTTCTCGTTTCTGCAGTCGTGTGAGACTTACGAGGTTGCTTAGCTTGCACACACACTTGACACTTAGATCCCTTGACAGTGGTGAAACTAGGGATTAAGTTCAATTTCGCTAGTCGCGACATGCAACCAAAGTTAACATGACAAAGACGTGAATGCCACACATTGGATTCACTATTGTTGCAAATATGATTAACAACTTTATTGCAAACGTCTGATAAGGATAAATGAAACAGACCTCCTGACTCATAGCCTTTACCAACAAAGGTTCCATACTTGGATATTACAAATTTATTTGACTCAAAGACAAGCTTGTAGCCATCTCTACACAGAAGAGATCCTGTAACAAGATTTTTATTGACGGAGGGGACATAATGCACGTTCTTCAGCCGCACGATCTTCCCCGAAGTAAACTTCAGATCGACCGTGCCAACACCACGAACAGAAGCACTTGAACCGTTGCCCATCAACACGGTTGAAGTCCCTACGGTCTGATAAGACGAAAACATGGAAATATCACCGCATACATGCACATTAGCACCCGTGTCAATCAACCAATCAGGAGAATGACATACTGAAAGAATAGTGGGAAATATACCATACCCAGCATCCTTCATGTCAGTGTCTCCAATGACAACATTACCGGTCTTGTCGCCTTTTCCAGGATGACGCTTGTCATAGCGATTAGGGCAACTAGGAGCTCAATGATCAGGATCCCCACACACATGACAAGCACCTTTCTTCTTGTCATTCTTCTTCTTGAAGTTCTTGTGCTGGACAGCCTTGTTCTTCCCATCAAACTTTGCTTTACCATCAAACTTTCCCTTGTTCTTGAACTTGTGGGGCGGGAAGTTCTGCTTCTGTACCACATTGGCACTAGATCCTCTCTCAATACCTCAAGCACGTGTGTCCTTTGCTCTTGCCTTTTCTTCCACATCAAGAGTGCCAATGAGATTCGGGACGGAAAACTCCTGCCTCTTATGCTTCAGCAAGGTAGCAAAGTTCCTCCATGAAAGAGGAAGTTTAGTGATGATACCTCCGGCAACAAACTTGTCCGGTAGCATACAACCGAAGTGCTCAAGTTCTCTAGCAAATGACTGTATCTCATGAGCTTGCTCAACCACGGAGCGCTCTTCAGTCATCCTGTAATCATAGAATTGCTCCATGATGTACAGCTCAGTGCCAGCATCCGAGACCTCAAACTTAGCCTCGAGTGCATCCCACATATCTTTTCCATTATCAATTAACGCATAAGCATCAACTATGTTCTCACCAAGAACACTCAAGAGAGCAGCCTTAAACAGAGTATCCATTTTTTGAAAAGCTTGTGCCTGTTGAGCATCAAACTCTTCTTCAGGCTTGCCAAGAGTGGCGTTGTAGCAACTCATGGTTTGAAACCATAAGACTGCTCTCACGCGCCACCTCTTATAGTGGATACCCTCAAACATAGGAGGTCTCATGGAAGCAGCAAAACCACTTGGGGTAAAATGCCTATAATAAGGTTTTTGGATTGTTGGAAATATGAGCAATTTACCAAATGATTTTATTAACATAAATATTAGATAAAGCATGACTAATGTAGCTGCGATAAAGCAAGTCATGCAACGTGATGGAGAAAAAGTAAATAGCATTTGCATATATGAACTTGAACTGAACACATCTAGGACAGACACTAGATCATGTTGCATATATGGAGTAGAACCTAACACATGTAGGGCAAGTACTAGTATGAGAAACTGTGGCAGGACATCTGACAGAAAGAAGAAGAACACATACGGGACAACAGCAGCAGAAGCACTGGACTTGGGGTAGACATCCTCTCCAGCCATGTCGTTGCTGAGGTAGTCGACGTCGGGGAAGTAGTCGTCGGAGTCCGTGATGAAGAAGCCAGTAGTCACGCAGAGCGCTCCCCAAAAATCTTATCACCCTTCTCCCGTACATGACTCAAAAGGTGCGATCTCGGAGGCCTACTGTCCCGACGTGCGGTGCACACCGCAAGCCGGGATGAGGAAGACAACAGCAGCTCAGAGATGGAACCGATGGCGAGGGAAGGAGTAGTTCTGGCGCGTCTCTCTGGGAGGAGCGACCTCCCTTTTATAGGCGCAAGAGAAGGAGGCGAGAGGGCAGCGACGGGAGGCGAAACAAAGAGACGGAGGCGAAGCGAACAACCAGCAGCCGAAGGGCTGCACCGTTCGCATTCGAACTTCACTTTCGCAAAAATCTTTTCAGCTTTCGTGTGACATTTCGTATACCCGTAGTGCGTGGCAAAAATTTAGATATCGGCTCGGCTCATTCCCGCAACCCGCGACGCGTCGGGACGAGGCGGGCGGCGGCGGAGGAGGAGCGCGCGTGGATATCCCTCTTGTTCTCATGCTCGTACAAGTGGGGAAGAACCTCCCTTATAAGGAGGTCCAACTCCCACTAAACTAGCAATATGGGATTAAACTTTAGTAGTATCCCTTGCCTTGCACAAATGGGCTAAGTGGGCCTCTAGGATCTATTAGGAATTTCTGAAATAGTTATTGGGCTGCCTAAAATAGACTAAATTCCAGCCTGGTAGGCGTCAGCCGGCTGATCTTGTGAAAGGATCACTTGCCGCCGCTTCAATCCCACCTTCTCTGTTTACTGCAGCACCTCTGCAACAACCGCGTAAGTTGCAAAGTAGCATCCCGGTTCATCACGTACGCTCGCAGGTAGCTCCCGTAGCTCTGGTGAGGGCATCAGGCTTGCCAGCCCGTAGCACCCGCTTGTTGGAGTCGCGCCACCGGTCGACTCATAGCAAAACTGTAGCAAACTCGCCGTGACCAAGCATGTTGCAATGCAACATCCATGTGATGTCTCTAGCAAGCATCTGCACCCAGCAAGTTCGTAACAAAACGCCGACGAGTTCGCTGCAACCGAGAATGCTGCAACACAGCACACAGGTGACTCCCGCTAGTAGCTAGCCATGCCCGACCAACTTGCAACACCACTACAGTATCGACCCTCGGCGACATCTGCAGTGGCAGTCGCTCGCCAAGTAGCTTGCATCACAACAACCGGTGATGCTCCATTGTAGCATCAGCGGCTGTGCAATATCATTGGAGTTGCTGCCCCGTTGCAGTCGTCGTTGCATCATGATGTCGTTGTAGAGCCAGCGATGCTCCATCGCAGCACCGGCGACCACACACTATGCTCTATCACAATGCCGATGACCACGCACAGAAGCTCCATTGTACCACCCGTGGCACTTGATGATGCTTCCATTGGATGCTCCATCGATGTTGGTGATGCTGCATGAGTGTTGAGGTTGGCGGATGCGCATGTGTGGTCGGCGTCAGAACCCTCTCTTGATTTGTGGCAGCGGGGAGATGGGTTGTCACCGTAGGGAGCCCGTCCCCATAGTAGGCATGACGAGACCCCACATGACGAAAGGAAAACATGAAGAAGAGAATGTGCGGAGGAGAAAGACCACAGAGAGGATAGAGTTGGGAGGGGGACATGCCCCGCAAGGAGCACACGTCGAGCGGATGAGGCGATTGACGGGAGGAAGGAATCAGTCGGTGAAATTAAATAAATAGTTTTCCATAAATCAAAGAGAGGTCACTCTTTATTTTTTTTTATGGGAGACAAAGGTCACTCTTAGTCAAAGCGGCCAAGCCTGAAGAAGGGGGCAGTCACAGAAGGACTCGGACTGCAGCGAAGCAAAAGCAGTAGGAGCAGAGTTCCATGCAAGTTTCCTGCAGCGCTGGATCTGGTCCCTCCGTTCAAAATCCAAGGGGTACGATTTGCTCGAGGAGTCGTGGATACACCTGGTCTTCGTAACCGTTGGCGGGCGCACGAGCCACATCCGGAACACGGGCCCAGCCGATGTGCCGCGTCCCCGCCTTCCTTGCCCGCCAATACAAAGGGCGTGGACTCCAGACCCGAGTAGAGGGAAACCCCAACTCCGAACCACACCGCAGCGCAGGGTTCTCATCCCGTTCCGCGTCGCCGCCGCCGACGAAGCCGCCGGTCGACCGTGAGCGCTAGCCTTGGCCATGTCTCAGTTCAACTACTGCCCATCCGCTGGCGACGTCCACGACGCCGGTAACGAGGCTCCCGTGAACGATTCCCTCGAAGGTTGCAGCATCCACGACGACGCCGGCAACAACGCTCCCATGAACGATTCCCTCGACGGTAGCCCCTCTTTGCTTGCTTGCTCCAGCGTTTGTTCCCTCCTCCTTTCTGACCCCAAATTACGTTCCTAATGCAGACACGAAGGATCTCATGAAGGCGGCCATCGCCGGAAACCTCGATTCCCTCAAAGGTATCAGACTGCTCCCCTGAACTTCATGAAATTGCTGTATAGCAATTTCACATACGCTCGCTTCTTTTCTTTTGGTTTTCTGTCTTGCTAATTGTAATTGGTCTATTTGTGACGGTGTTTACTTTTGGGAGAAGGTATTGTACAGAGTCTTACCAAAGGAAGCGGTGACCCATCGGCGATTTTTTCTTTCAACATCGATGGGGTTTCTGTGTTGCACGCCGCGGCAATGTTTGCCCAACTGGAGGTCAGCAAGTATTTGGTGGAGGAGCTCAAGGGAGATGTAAATGCTCCTGGATATGGAGCTGGTGCTGAAGGTCTTTATCTGTCGCTCTCTCCGTGCTTAAAACCAGGGGCTGCCATGTCAATGTTTGCCAGCATGCATAATATCTTCGATTGCATTGACGATGTGCTTGTTATGTTATCACAGGTATGACTCCATTTATAGTGTCTGCTCGGTCTGGTGATGTTGCTACCGTTAAGTATTTTCTGGATCGTGGTGGCGATTTAATGAAAGCAGACGACAAAGGACGCACCGTTCTTCACCATGCTGCCGCTAAAGGTTCTTCTCCCCGACACGCACATGCACACGCGCGCGCGTGCGCACACACACACACATGATTTCTTGAAGTTGGTCGTTTTACTAGCTAGGCTTTGCTAGTACACTCCCTTTGTTTAAATATTGTGTTAGAACATGACTTATGGGATCATTTTGGTATATCACAGGACGCTGCATGGTAACAAAGTTCCTCCTTTCAGAAGGAGTTCCGGTCGACATAAACTATGGCCGTGGAACATCACTCTTTGTGGCTGCTGAAAGTGGGGAGGATAAGACATTGGAGATTTTGTTGGACCATGGCGCAGATGTATATGTCCTTCACTTTTCTTATTTTCGTATCTCAAAAATAAAATCTTGAGTCACCTACATTTATTAATACACAATGTCTGTCTTTCAGCCTAATATCAGTGTCCATTGTTTGGGAAGTCCCTTCTTTATGGCTCTTACTAAGCATTCATTCAAATGCATGGAGACGCTCGTAAAGGTTAGAATTCTCTGGATTATTCCTCCATATCTATGTTGTAATTTTGCTTACTCTACCATCTACTCTGATGTACATGGAGATATCATTGCTAATACTCATTTGCACAATCCTTTTCACAGGCTGGTGCCGATGTTAATTGGAAGACTTTTGGTCTCACTCCTTTGGGGTTTGCTACAGCGCGAGGAGGTTATACTAACTTCATTCAGTTCCTCTTGGATGTTGGAGCAGATGCTAATATTTCTGATGATGTATGTTTTGTATTTTTCTCTATTTTTGTTGGTCTCTATGCAACATATGGCCGCATTCTCATAAAGCTTTCGGTGATACTTTTATACAACTTTTCTCATTATGATGGGGAGTTATTTGGGAATGCTTTTAGGTTGCTTTGCACCGTTGATTATACTAACAGGAAATTGAACCTTGTGCCTAGTAAAGTTGTCTTACCTTCCATCAAAACAATCCATATCATTTAGCAAATAGTTTCTATGAGGGCTCCTCCCATAATGTGGTATTAATTCGCCACAGGCAATTAAACCCCGGTGAGCGCTGCGACACGATTGCAAGTCTAGCGCTGGGATGCATCCCTATTCTCAATGGTTTATATCTATTTGTCATTTTCCTTTGATTGTCAGTTATTGAGTTCGTATTGAAGTACCAAAGCTATTTTATTCTACAAATGTTGCTATTTACTTGTACTTAGATACTGTTAACTTTGCGATAATATTACATTTCTTGCATTGATTAAACATCGTAATGTTCATGTTCTTTTCTATATCCCATCTGGTTCCCTTTTGAATGGCAATTTTAAATTTGAAAATGAATGACAGTTATTTTTCCTTCTATTGGCCAGTTGGGTTGGTTGCCAGTACAGCTTGCTGCGGCACGTGATTGCAATGAAGAGGTTGAAATGTTGTTTCCTTTGACTTCCCCAATTCCAAATGTCCCAAACTGGACTATTGAGGGTGTAATTTCTCATGCAAAGATTGAAGCCAAAAAGCCATTGGTATGTTTCTGTTCGTGTTTGTTTAATTTTGGTATTCTATTCTGAATTTGTCCATTAAGTGCTATTATAAGCTATAAGGTTACTATATGCATGACACTGTATGTACATTGAGATAACCACGACTAATTTATTGGGGTAATCTTAGGTGTCCCAACCTGTGATAATCATAAAGATAATTTTTTAACTCCTGACTAGCCTATAACAAATTAACTGTAATTTATAAGGGTAATGTGATCATGCTGAGGTAGCATATAGTCCTGGTCTAACAAGAGGGCTACCTAACAATAGACATAATGAACCCATGTGTGGTATGCACTATCAATCCGTTAATGCAACACAAAATAAACAAACCCTGGTTTGTAATGAATTAAAAATACTAACCAAACTCGGTAAAAAATGTTGAGTAAAAGAGTTCTTCTACTTCCAAGCTTGGAAAGTACAAACACCATAAGATCGGCTCTCTAGACAATGAGTACAAACCCAGTCCCGGATTGGCGAGATCCACACAAACCATCACGTCCAAAGGTTACAAGAAAAATAACTCCGCCTAGCTAGGGTGGTGTTGGACAACCAATCCATAGACTAAGTTGACACCCATGCGAAGCAGCATGAGTAGTAACATAAGCATGTCAAAGAGCTAGCCACCTAGACACCAAACTAGAGTGTTGAACACAATCTTGTTGAATTTCTTCAAGATACAAATTATTACAGTAAATGATCATTATTAGCAAAATTCGAACATCCAGTTCATTGTTTCCTTATGTATTTTCCAGGATCAAAACGCTTGCCAAAGAAGAAAAAGTTTCTTAAAGTTAGAAGCTGATATAGCATTCAAGCAGAAGGACTATAAGCTGGCATCAGAGTTGTATGACATGGTAAACCTCTTTAACTTAGACTCTTATAGTTTAGGTGGTAAGATTTTGCTTGTTAATCAGGAACCAATTAACCAATCTATGTGCATTTTCTATTTTTACTAACTGGGTTTCTTACTGTATACTCTAATTAGATCAACTAAAGTTACGACTGGATCTGAGCAAGGCCCGTCTAAAATGAATATAATTTGAAGAAAGTATACATTAAGAATGTATTTAAAGTCATGCATCTTACTATTTGAGTAGAGTGAAAGAAGATTTTCTCATGGAGCCCATTTAGGGGGCGACAAGGAATGAGTAAAAGCTATGTTTGCCTGGTTCTTGATGCATACTATTAGGGATGTGGAACAACAAATAGGTCAGATGTAGATGGAGTTAGTTCTCATACTTCTCTAGATATATCAATTGTTAATTTGCCATGTATGTAGTTGACATGATTTCATGTAATTTGTCACTGATTTAGACTAGTCTTAATTAATTCACGCAGGTCATGCATAGTAAGTAAATTTTGAATTCAGTTGAGAAACATATTTTAAATTATTTGTACATGTCAAACTTTCGTTGACTTCTTACATATCTCCTGAATCCATGAAATTGAAGTTATTTTTCCTTCTCGGCTAATATAAATATTTTATATGGCTGTCCACTTTTTCTGTTTACATGTCTGATTTGATGTCTACTTAGGATTTTTTTACAACATATCCAAATTGACCGTACATGTAAATTGAACAAGCCAACCGTTCTAGTAAGAGAATGTGATCCATAACCCCATTCTACAGTATATTACTTCCTCCGTAAAGAAATATTACTTACCTAGTAGTGAAGCTTAGACAGTTTTCTACCTGTCCATGAATAAGCGTTAGAAAAAACTTTTGTACGCCACCATTTTAAGTTTAGAATAATATTTGCATGTCCTCTTTCTGTTGAATGTAGGCAATAAGTCATGGAGAAAGTGCAACACTGTACGCGAACAGGAGTCTTACTAAACTGCTAATGGGTGATGGTGAAGGCAGTGGCGGAGCTTGGGCTGAAATCTAGGGGGGGCAATGGGCTAGGGGGGGGCAAACAATATGTATTTTGGGCTGATTTTGCTTGAGATATGGGCCAAATACTAAGGGGTATTTCAGAAAAAAATCATGGGCTGGGGGGGCAACGGCCCAGGTTGGCCCCTGAGAAGCTCCGCCACTGGGTGAAGGTGCTTTGTCAGATGCTCTCTGGTGTAGAGTGTTGCGACCTCATTGGGCAAAAGCTTTCTATCGTGAAGGTGCAGCTCTCATGCTACTCGAGGTGAGTCTAGCTTGACATTGCCAGTGTCGTCCTAATTTATTTCATATTGATCTTACAGTCTGGCCACTTTCTTTGTTTTTCTCTACATCCAGGAGTATGAACAAGCCTATGATGCTCTGTTGGATGCACAAAACTTGGATCCTGAGAGTGCTGAGATTGAACGTGAACTACGGTAACTACTGTCTTTTGAGTGTCCTCCAAATGCTGCTATGCTTGTAGGCTGGCAAAGTACTTTATGGTGTCCTTCTTTCTTATCTGCCACTTTCTTTTTTACTTATTATTTATGTAAAAACAGTCAGCCAAAATAATTAATTGGAATTCCAATTAATCACTGAAGAAATTAAAAAGGGATTAAATAAAAAAATCCAAGTCTTAAATGAAAGGATCTGGTTGGAATCGTAAAGTGTGGTAGAAAGAACTACATATAGTTTTTTCTACGACACTTTAGACTCTTTCTATTATATTATCTTTGAATCTACATAGAATAGATTAGTAGATTGAAATAGTTAAGTAGTCTAATTCAATTTCTTTTTTCATTGCATCCACTTAATTTCAATCAGGTCAAAATAAAAAAAATCTAAGACAATTCTTGACCAAAGAATCCATGAAAGAGTATACCTAACGATATCAACCCAAGAATGAGTACTAGGTATTGAGTTGCATATCGACGGATTTCGGTAAAGCTGACGTTTCTATTCCATTTTCTCGCAGGAAGGCTAGGGAACTCATGAAGAATATTCCTGGAGAACGTGAGCAGGTGTGAGCAGTGAGGCGTGCGCATCGGACCCAGGCCTGACGGTCGAGGAACCAGCCAACCAATCTTCGCCGGAGTTCCACCGGCAATTCCTCGACGGCTCCCCCGGTCGGCAAGCCACCTCCAGCTCCGATCCCGTCAAGATGCTCGCGTACCTGGTGCTGATTCACCTCGACCGCGTCTACGACTACACCGTGCAGCCGGCCTCAAGTGACGAGAATCTTCGCAGCTACAACAGCAACATCAGCGGGCTACCCTCGGAGTCTTCGTCGACGCAAGATCGCTGCATCAAGTGGCACTACCGCTGGAACCTGTACTATGAAGATGGCACCTTCCCTCCTCACCGAGGCCCCGTCCACTCACGCCTCAGCTTTGGTGGTGGTGGAGGCTTCGATGATCCCTCTGGTGGCGCCGCCGCTGATCCAAACCACCGGAGACACATCGGACGAGACGGTGGCCATAGGATGAGGGGTGGCGTCGATGGAGGAAGCAACAACTCTGCCATGCATGGCCGCAACGGAGATCCATAGATTTTCCGACGCCGTCAAGCTACCGTCCTTGAAGCTAACGAGGCACAAGTAGTGGCTCTGAACCCGCTACTACTGCGGAGCCGGTGGAGATTCGAATCTGTGATAAAGATGCTGGGGATCATCTGGCTTTGGTTGGCCCCAATGCACCAATGAAAGCACCGCTGACCAAGGTCCTTGCTGACAACCCGACAGAGGAAACCTTGGCACTCGACCAAGTGCTTTCGGAAGTGCACCAGTGGCCAACTTCCTTCCTCATGTCTCCTGGCGAGCTGCAGGCTGAAGGTGGGCAAGGCGTGCAGACTATGGGCGAGATGCGGTCTGAGGACGAGCTGTGCATGTAGGATGCGGCCCTCCTGTCGCCTCCCTTGCATGCGCCCCTGCATGGTAAGGACGCTGTGGATGTGGCCCCCCACGGGCACGCTCTCAGCGTTGGGGCCACCCTCGGTATGGCCGAGCGAGAGGGCGACCCGCCTACTCTCTTGCTCGGCCCGAGCGACGACGGCCACAGGATGGGCCTGTTAACCGGCCCAATGCTAGATCTGGCCACGCCCTTGAGGGGCCCCTCTCCAAGACGCCCGGCCTAGGACGCCACCCCGCTTGGGCCTCTCTCCAGCCTGCCTTCCAGCTCAGTTGGTGACCAAGACGGCAGTAGCAACATCCAGATCAAGACCTTCCTCAACAACTGCTCTGCCCCAATCCCGGCTCCGCTCCTCCCATCCCCCGTTCCACTGCTGCACAAGCCACACGTCTCCGACCGCCCACGGCGACAGGGAGCACAAGATCCAGTGGAAGGCTAGCTGCTAAGCCAACCAGGCAGCTTTCCTCCATGGATAAAGCGCTGCACGTACTGAAGAAGAAGGAGGGGATCGCTGCGGCCACTGACACCGAAGAGGATGTGATGGACAAGCTCAAGAATATCTGCAAGAAACCCCTCCCCTCGGGCTTCATTGCGGCTGTCTCCTCCCTGATTTCTGCCTCCGGTCCACCTCAGGGCGGCGCTCCGAGGGTGCCCAGCCTGCCGGGGATTGAGTCGGCCTGACAGTCGTTCTTAGATGTTGTACTGCTGTTCTATACAAGTTTCCAATGTTAGTGTGCTTCTTCAGCTCTATTCAGTTGTTCTACTTGCTGCTTGTAGCTGTTACCAGTTTACCTGCTGGCCGGGACTGGGTCCAATCTGTTCTGGAGTGGGACATGGCTGTGTTTTTCAGTTTGTGCCCCTGTTCTGGGGAATTCCTCTCATTTGTCGACTGTTGCCCTCAGTTTTCTTTATGGAGTACATCATACTAAATTGGAATGTGCGCGGTCTCCACAACCCTGCTAAGCGAAGAGCTATCCTCATGTTCCTCGCTGAGCACCAATGCAACATCATCTGTCTTCAGGAAGTAAAAATGCAGACCATCTCAGCAGCTTTCGTTGCCGAAACACTGGGGGCCCATTTCTGTGACAACTTTATTTACAAACCAGCTAATGGCTCTAGAGGGGGAATCCTGATTGCCTGCTCCGCTGATATTGCAATCACTCATGACCCCCTTGCTGATGGGCCTAACTCCATTACTGGGCAGATTATGGACAGGAGCAACAATGACAGATGGACCATCTCAGCTGTGTACGGACCCCAAGATGATGCGGCCAAGGTCCTTTTCATTGATGAACTCAAGGGACTCAAGCAGTTTGCTCTACCATGCTGGATGGTCCTTGGAGATTTTAACCTGATCAAGAAAGCCGAGGACAAAAATAATGGGAACATAAACCTGCAGATGATGGGAAGGTTCAAGAGTGTTGTTGATGAGCTAGAGCTAATTGATTACCCTCTCCTGGGCAGAAAATTCACTTGGTCCAATGAGCGTGACATTGTCACCCTGACTAAGATCGACAGGATCTTGGTCTCCAAAGATTGGGACCTTAAATTCCCAAATTACCAGCTCACCCCTGCATCCTCTTCAATCTCTGATCATTGCCCCCTGCTACTAAAGCCAATGCATCAGCGCCACTTCAAAGGGTTCCGATTTGAATCCTATTAGCTGAAAAAGACGATTTTGTGGAAACTGTTAATAAGGCTTGGGCGAAGCCAGTTGTTTCATCCGACGCAATTAGGGTCCTTCATACAAGACTGTCAAGAACTGCAAGGGCTCTGAAAAAGTGGGATAGAATGGAGACCAAGAGAGCAAGGGCTCTCTACAATGTGGCCACTGAGCTGATTTTCCTTTTAGACCTGGCACAAGAGGAGAGGCAATTAACTGATGAAGAAAACGCTCTTAGAAAGATGCTCAAGCTAAAGCTTCTGGGGTTTGCTGCTGTGGAAAGAATGCGGTGGCGCCAGCGCTCACGGTTAACAAGGATCCGTGTTGGAAACGCCAATACTAAGCTCTTTCATCTACGGGCAAATGGGAGGAGGAGGAAGAATCACATACCTACCCTTCAGGGGCCTTCCGGCATGGTCCACGAGCACACTGAGAAAGCCAAAATTCCGCTTGATCACTTCAAGTCGCTAATGGGGAAGGCACAACATCGCAGCCACACAATAAACTAGAACTTTTTGGAAATGCCCACACTCAACCTCCAGCACCTTGAGGGTAGCTTCACTATGGATGAGCTAAAAACTGCAGTTTTTGAGATGCACGCCGAGAAAGCTCCAGGCCCTGATGGTTTTATTGGTGGCTTCTTCAAAAAATGTTGGAGCATAACTAAAGATGATCTGTTGATGGCCATAAACCAGCTCCATAGCTTTCGAGGAGATAATTGGCACCTTCTGAACACGGCACACATCGTGCTCTTGCCGAAGAAGGACGGCGCTGCACTCGCGTCCGAGTTCAGGCCAATCAGTCTGATGCACAACATTGGGAAGATCACTTGTAAAATTTTGGCAAATCGTCTCGCCCAGGAGCTCCCAAAAATGATTTCCGCCAGCCAGAGTGCCTTCATCAAGGGTCGTAGTATCCAGGACAACTTCCTATATGTGCAGAATGCAATAAAGGAAGCTCACTCCAAAAGGCTTCCACTAGTCTTCCTAAAATTGGATATTGCTAAAGCGTTCGACTCAGTGCATTGGGGATATTTGTTTGATGTCATGAGAGGATTTGGGTTTGGCCAACGCTGGATGAATCTGATGGCGATCATGCTGTCCTCCTCCTCCTCTCGTGTCATGCTCAGCGGCAGCCCCGGAGATCCATTCTACCATCACCAGGGATTGAGGCAAGGCGATCCACTCTCCCCCATGTTGTTCATACTCACTATGGAGCCACTGCAGCGTATGTTCTCGAAAGCCACAGATATTGGAATTTTATCACCCATAAGGCAAAAATCAGTGGGGATTAGGACCAGCCTATATGCTGACGACGCTGCCCTGTTCATAAACCCCATTAGAAGAGAAGTTGAAGCCGCGCAGAAGATCCTGATAAGGTTTGGGGAGATCTTAGGTTTAATGATCAATCTTGGCAAATGTGTTGCATACAAAATAAGATGCACATACCCTGAGCACGCAGAGATTCTAATGGACTTTGGAGGTGCTGAAGGAAACCTACCCTGTCGATACTTGGGTTTGCCCCTAAACACTAGGAAGCCAAGAAGGGCTGAAATTCAGCCGATTCTGGACAAAGCCAGTGCAAGAATTAAACCATGGAAGGGCAAACTCATGAAAAGAGCAGGGAGGTTGGATTTGGTAAACTCTGTTTTGACGGCCATCGCAACCTATTACCTGACCTGCTTTGCTGCGGACAAATGGGCAGTTAAAAAATTGGACAAGAGTAGAAGAAATTTTCTCTGGGCTGGAGAAGAGGAGGCACATGGAGGAAAATGTATGGTCAACTGGAAACAATGTTGTTCGCCAAAAAAACTTGGAGGCCTAGGGATCAAAGACATTGCCCTCTTTAGCAGATCGCTACGTCTTCGGTGGCTTTGGTATGAGTGGGACTCACTGCAATGTCCATGGAAAGGAACTCCAGTACCATGTGACCAAATAGATAGAAAGCTCTTTGCGGCTTGCACAGAGATTACCATTGGTAATGGACAAACTGCACTTTTTTGGCATGATAGATGGCTGCAGGGTAATGCCCCTAAAGATATTGCACCAGAGCTCTTCTCATTGGCTTGGAGAAAAAAATTGAAGGTGGCTGAGGCTCTTGCTGGGGAAAGATGGATGCGCGGA